GTTCATCAAGCGTGAACAAGTTGTTGGAACAATGTTGTTAACGATTGTCGCTTGAACAACGTTGTTCAGCCATGATAACCTCATTGTTGCAACGTTGTTCAGCGAACAATGTTGCAACAACCTGATCAATTTTTACGCGTGTATAGCAACAGATCGTGTTGACACTTGACAACTCAAATTATATTTTAATATTTCTCACTTGATCGTAAGGGTTTTTCTTTAACAATTGCGTGCATATCTCCGAACATTCTTCAAACTTTCTCCTCCGAAACAAACTAAGTGCTAAAAACAATGGATCCATCGTCATTTTCACAAAATATTTTTGAAAACAAACACAACAAAAATATTATTTGAATATTTTGATGTTTTTCGTTGAGAACTTCATGTAATCTAAATAACATGGCTCTTGCGGTTACCATATATGGCAAAAAACAAGATGGCGGACGGAAAGACATATTATGAACTTTTAGGAGTGGATAGAAACGCTTCAGAAAAAGAGGTTTTTTGAAGCTTATTTTTATGTATTTTATAAATAATATAATCTACTTTTGTTGCTTTTACTTCTATGCTCGGTTGTTGTTGTTTAAAGGTATTAGTTTTGATGTTTTTAGGAATTAAACTAAAGAATTAGTTTTGTTTTTTAGATCACTAAAGCGTATAGAAAGAAAGCATTGAAATGCCATCCTGATAAAAATCCTGATAATCCTAATGCAGGTAGTCTATTTGAAATGGCCGTCTTAACGTTTTAGTTGTTTTTTGTAGCTTTAATAATGTGTAAATATTGTTTTATGTTATTCGTGTTGATCTTGGTGTTATGTACTGTAGTCTTTGTTATGACGGCCAATCACGGGTTATTCCTGCTTAGTATTTTCATGTAAACAACTAAAATGTAGAACAAGCATTTACTAGAAATGAATAGAAAATTGGGCTACTTCATAGCTTCCCTGAGTACCAGGAATATTTGATTGCATGTTTTTAATGGTGTATGTGGTCAGTGATTAGCTGCTTATGATAAAATATATGTTTTTAGAGACATACCTCTGGTATCTAGGTGGATATTTTAGAAGATTGTTACCATGTGCATGCATTTTGGAACGAAAAATACCAAAACATCAGATGCATGTACGCAACGCGTACCTATTTTTTTGCAAAGAACGCGAAATTTGGTACCCTCTACAGTACTTTTGAAGTAAAGATTAATTATGTCCTTATTTTGTCTAGACTTATCATATTTTTTCAATAACACTCAATATTTGTTCATTTTTTGACTTATTACTGAATCTACTTTTTCAGCGGAGTTGTTTCACAAACTGAGCAAAGCTTTTGAAGTTATCGGAAATCCAAAAGCAAAGGTACTTACTGTTGTTCAAGACTGATTTTTGTTATGCAGCCTAAATTGAAAAATAATGATGATTGTCCCAACAGGCAGCATACGATGCAACATTGAAAGCAAAAGAAAGAGCTCGATTACGTGTTAAAGCTTTCGACAGCAAGAGAAAGAAATTTAAAGAAGGTTTGTGTTGTTTTTAAAACCTTAAGAAAGGTAGATTTCGCGCGGTTCCTTTCACTCGCCCAATGAAGCTAGGAGAAAATTCTGAGATGGACTTGTGGCAAGCCTATAAGACATAAGAGGCTAAAGTACTTGGATCACATTTTCATGTTCCCGTTAAAATTTCAGATTTGGAAGACAGGGAAAAGTCCAGTCAAGATGACTACGTAAAGGACGAAGTGCTTGTGAAGAATTTGGAGCAAGAAGTAAGATGAGACTTTGTGTTGCAAACAAAACTTCGAATTCTTGGGTTAAGATGTAGTATAGTTTGCAGCCACGTGAGTTGGTACACCTGCGCATGACAAGCACTGGGGATAAGTGACCTCTTCAAGTTACATGATTAAACATGTAAAAAATACCCATGAACTTCGATGCCGCAGATTGTGGCTTCGGTTCTCGCTACGGACTCATGTGAAAAGAGTCAACGCTCTGCCGAAAGTCGTGGGTTTTCTCCGCGTGCTCTGGTTTCGCACAGTTAAGAAAGTAATATCACAATTGTTGTAAAGATAAACCTATACGCCTTTGAAATATAAACCTATACGCCAAGAAAATTGAGTATAGTTGAACTTTCGCAGCGTCTCCGTGAACACACAAGCTATAGACCCATTGCACTGACGTCACAAATCCTTAGAGTGTCCTCCAGATGCTCCCTAACAATATCTGTTCGTGTACAACAACCACATACAGCGCAAAAATTAACCATTTTAATACAAAATTATTATAAATTTTTACAAAATTTGCTTTGTTTACAAGAGTTATATTATACATAGATTGCTAGTTTGTCCTCCAGATGCATCGTCACCGGCGCTGTGATGTCATGTGCAATGGGTCTCTAGACGTGTAACGTGCGCATGTTGAACATGTTCGCTCATCTGCCCAGACAAAGTGACGGTTAGTTCAAAACGACAAAGGGTTTATTCCATTTCAGTTTATTGGTGTTTGATGAGAGCTTCTATTGATCTAGATTGAACGTCTAAGAGAAGAAGGACTAAAAATATTACAACGAGAACAAGAGTTGATAAAACAACAAATTGAAGAAGAAAGAAAAAGAACAGAAGCCTCTGTTGGGACGGAAGATTTTAATTTCACACCAAAACTTAAGGTGATGAGATCGAGGTTTTATGAACTTCTGAAATGATTCTCACTATTTGTTTAAACCGCGCAGATTGAGTTTATATATAGCTGACAGTTCTAAACTGTTCTTCCTAGAGGTCCGATAAGCATCATCTCTTATTGATCCAGTGTTACTACAGGAGAAAACTAAACTAACTTTATTTATATTGGATAGCTCTATCAGTTCTAAACTGTTCTTCCTAGAGATCCAGTAAAAATAATCTCTTATTGATCCAGTGTTACTACAGGATGAATCCTAAACTAAATTTATTTATACTGGATAGCTCCATCAGATCTAAACTGTTCTTCGTAGATAGAAAGAGCACCGAGTTTTTAACCTGTGGCTTGGCTGATATCTACACTGATAATCCACGAATCTAGCGTGATTCGTAAGCATAAATTGGTTTGTTCTTTACCCTAGATTCGATGGAAATGTCAAAAAAATGATAACACAAATGGAGGATACTCGTCAGAGCTACTTCACTCCATGTTTAGAAAGGTTAATAAATTTAATATATTTCATGTTATACTGTATAATATGCATTATTAATTTATTAACTTCTTCCAATCTTCTTCTTAGTGCATGTACATGTACATCCCTACTGACAAATGAACAAACTTAAATTTTTGTTGCAGTATGGTGAAATTGAGAATCTCTTGGTATCATCAAAGAAGGCTGGAAGTGCTATCATCGAATTTAAAGATTTAAAATCTGCCGTGAGTGCAACAAAACAATGTTCGTTCATCTAGAAGTCAGAGAATACTGATTTTTTATATCTCAATCTTTCCTTCAGGAAATGGCAGTCGAGAATGAAAGAGGGAATCCCGCCAACCCTTTGAGAATAACGTGGCTGGAAGGAGCTGCCCCTAAACTGACCCATGATGAACGACATGACAGTTCATCAGCTAAGGTTGATACACCCATAAATGTATGTATGTATGTATGTATGTATGTATGGATTGTATTCTTATGGGATTCAAGTCGTTATTACCCGAGCATGTGCCAACTAGAATTGCGTGATCAATACTGACAATGGTTCAGGGGTGGATCTAGCCTCATCTGCAAGGAGGGGTACAGGTTTTCCGCATGGGGTGGTGCATGAGGGAGCCTTACTGCCCACTCTCCTCTGCAGTCTGCAACGCTACTATCCCAACATCACCATTATTTGAGATGGCCGAATCTCCATGTTCGCCGTTCTGTTACGTTTTACATTATCTTTTGTTTATAAAGTTTATATCGACTTTTTATCACGTATGCGTGACTGGACAGTTGCTGTAGCACAGTACAGTAAATTTGCTTGTTAAAGTACAGTATATTTGAAAATATGGCTGTATATAACAACCTCGACATGTTTACATATTTAACCATGATTTTAAACTAAAGCATTCTGAGTATTTTCTCGTGAGCTCACAAATGAATTAAATCGTTTCAAAAAATCGACACGCGCTAACAGTAGAAGTTTCGCTAATCGCTATGCGAAAAGCAGAAAATGCATGGTCAAGCAGATTGTTTTAGGATGGTGCTGGACTTCTCTAGGCGGTGCTAGACACCACTAAATGTTGATATTCCTTGTTTTAAGGTGACATCTACGAGTGAAAATAATTTAGTATCTGGGAGAGACTTTGAAAGCTTAGTGATGAGAAAACTACGTCAAGCTGAAGAAAGAAAAAGACTCTGTGAGGAACTCGCGAATGAAGACGCAAGCTAGCTAGGAAGGTCAGTGTTAGCAAGCGCGCCGAATGAATTACCACCACCTCGTCTCTGGGGAAACAATGTCAGGAAATTGTCTACCAAAAGGGAGATTGGTGCAATATTGCATAGGACAGAAAGTTATTGATTCACCTCTGTAAGATACCGATATCAATTACCAGATTACTATTACAAGGTGAAGAAAAACAAATGAAACTGTTACTCTGCAACAAAAAATTAGATAAAAAATTCCAGTAAACACGAAGCTCCAAGAAGATGTTCTGTGACTGGTTGACTATGACAATGACAAAAGA